ACCAGAGGAGAAACAGAATGTATGAGCTCCAGTTAAAGAATGCAATGGAACTCAACAGGAAACGCAAAAGACTAGGCGGACATTAGATTTTTACATATAGTAAAATGGGTTTCTTCAGTAGTATTGGAAACTTCTTCAGAAGAGTTGGAAGAGGTATATGGAATGGAATAAAAACCGTAGGAAGAGGAATTTGGAACGGAGTTAAAAATATTGGTAAAAGGGTAGGTCAGTTTGTTGGTATTATACCTAAAGACCCTGAACCAGAAGAACAAGCTCCTGTAATACAACAGCCTGAACCTGCACCACAGTCAAGTTGGCAACCAAATCCAACACCTCAACCGTATTAAAAATTATATTTTTACCGTTCGATAGTAGTTGTATATGAAACTAAGTTCTAAGTAAAACGCATGGTATAATGGAATTATTCTTTTTCTTCCATCTGTAGTAAACCATACTTGAAAGTCTGAAATACTTCCACTTGGTGGTTCGTATAACTTTGTAGGTTTTTCGTAAAAGTCATTTGCCAAGCATAAGAAAGAGTTTTGGGCGCCAGAAAATGAAGCATGAACAATAATAGCAGCTGGGTCGAAAACATCTTTAAATAAATATGGTTCATCTCTTGCATATCGACTGTAAATATTTGCTAAAGGAAGTTCGACTTTCTGATTTAACATTCTTTGCAAATAATACCATGACATTGCAGTGAATTCTGTATATATTTGTTCGTCTTTATTTGGATTGTTTTCGTAGATTTGAATGACACTTGTGAATTTTGTTTTGTCATATACAATTCTCACATAAAGTGTGCTCTCGTATTTGCATATCATCAGCATATTTTGCATAACATGAATTTATTTTATCTTCTATATTTTTTAACGCAGTCGTAGAGAAGATGAAAGGTCAACTTGTATTAGCTCAATTTCTTCCCACATTTTTCGTTTCCCTTCAGATATATAATCTATATGAAACCTTACAATAAATGGAAAACTTTTATCTTCTACAGACACAAACTTCATTCTACGAAAGCCAATAGCTTTTGTGACAGATGGGTCTCTTAACCATCTTAATGGGTAGTCAAAACGATAGCCTTCATGCTTTACGGTCTCTGTCTCAAACTTTTGACCGACATTAGTAAAAAGTTCATCTAATGGTTTAGTTGTAGCAACTCTTGAATTTTCTTTTTCTATTGGAAGCATATTTTATCTATAATAAAAATGTCGAAAGATATTGCTTCCATAAGAGAAATACAACACAACCGACAACTCATTATGCAAGCTCTAAATAAGAACACAACAAACTTTTCAAACTATTCTAAGATATCTGAGTCATTGAAAGAAGGAAACTTAAAACTGACATTAAACCCAATGACAGATGAGTTTCTGTTTCAAGACAATAAGAACCATACTGTCTGTATAAATCCAACAAAAGGAACTTTAAACGAGAAACCTATAAATGAACTTCTTTGAAAGCAGATGTTGACAACAAAGCTGACAAAGAATATGTAGACGATGCAATAGCAAAAGAAGAAGAAAGAGCTAACAATGCTTATGCAACAAAAGAACATACTCATCCTGAACTAGCAGACAAAACATATGTTGACAATAAAATGTCAAGTGAAGTGACAAGAGCTGAAAACGAATATTCTAAAAAGACTCATATACATTCTATATCTGAAATAACAGACTTAAACGTTAGCCTTGAAAAGAAAGCGGATAAGGAATATGTGGCTAGTAAGTTAGAGAAGAAAGCAGATAAGGAATATGTGGATGAAAAAGATAATGAAATTAAAGAAAGGGCTGAATGGTATCATGAATGGACATCGCAGATTTTAAAAACTAAAGCTGATACAGGATGGGTTTCAGGATGTTTAGACCTTAAAGCAGATAAAACTTATGTTAACGATGAGTTAGAGAAGAAAGCAGATAAAGAACATACACATAACTTCTTCTCAACTGTTGCTATAGAAAGTATTGAAGGAACGGTTGAAGGAACTGGTGGGGATGCATTATATTGTAAACCTCCTAACTTTCCACAAGGTTTAACATCGGATGACGACATAACGACGATGAGAAACATTAGATGTAAAGATGTTTATGTCATGAAGGATGAACATAATATTAAATTCACTGCTCAAGATTTATATGACAAGAAAGCAGACAAAACAGAGCTTCAAACATTAAAGACAGAAATGCTTCAAACATTATATCCTATAGGCTCTATTTATACGTCAATGAACTCTACCAGACCAGAAACAGTTCTGGGTTTTGAACTTGGACTCAAATAGTCGACAGGTTTTTGTATTGTGCAAACTCTTCAAAGGAAACATGTGGAAGTAAAACGATTTCAGGTGAAAATTTACCTGCACACAGTCACTACATAGATTTAAGTACATCTCAAGCAGGTTGGCATAAGCATAGATATTGGGATTGGTCAGCAATGACAAAAGGTAAAGGATATGATGTTAAAGACAACGTTAAGTTTGCTATAAATTGTTACTGGAGTAACACTGAGGGAGGAGGAAACCATACACATCGCGTTTCGGGATATACGCAAACAACGGGACAAAGTAAAGAATATATGCCACCTTACATGACAGTTTACGCATGGTATAGAATTGCTTAGTCGTCATTTTCAACTTCTTTAGCATATTCGTCAGGAGTTGTCTTATATTTGTTAGGAACTGTCTTTGAAAGTATACCACCTTGAACTTTGACAAGTTTGAAACGAGGTCTGGCAATAGTAGTTTTATCTTCTGCTTGCAGTGTGTACATTTTGCCATGTTTGCCTAAAACTTCATAATATTCTCTTGTATACTTTCTTCTATTTTTACGAACACGAATGTGAGTACCTGTCGAGTTCCCATTGTTGTCATAGTCAATAGTATTTTCATATGGGTCGCGTTTAGGTATTTCTATTTTTACTTTGTCACCTTTCTGAAGTTTGAAGCCCGGCATTCTTTCTTGTTTGTCTCTTTTGACTAAATTATTAAATATATAGTCTTTCTCTAAGTCAGGGTTGTTTTTCATTTCTTCGGGGGAGTGGTTTCCCAAACCTTTTTGTTTACGGTTATTGTAAATATTTAAAACTTGTCTCATCTTTGCCTGGGAGAAGTGTCTATATTTGTCATCATATGACATTTCATTTGCTTCACCACCTTGTGGTTGGTTTAAGTCTCTTAACATTTTTATACAACCGTCAATGACACCAAGAGCAGAATGGTTTTGGTCGACAATGAAATATTGGTTTACATTTTTTGAACGCAGATAGTTTTTTACATCATCTGATTTGAAAGAACTTTCACAGTCAGATGTCAGTTTTGCTGGATGGTATTTGTCAACGAATATTGTCAAAGCAGTTTTCACATCTAAAATATTTTTGGACCATAATGGTATGGCTTCACAGTATCTTGTGTTTTGACCAACAAATATTAACCAGTATGGAGGTCCATCTGTTCTAACTCTCGGAATGTTTTCCAAGATATCCATAAACCAAGCATTTGGTGTTGAACTAAAGATTTTTATCATGAGTGCTTTCTTTGTCGCTTTAGAAACATAGGGGTCCTTGTTTGGATTCGTCATTTTTTAACCCATAAGAAATGGGTTTATTTGGCGCATTAGCAGGAGTCGCATCTAGATTTTTACCCGCAGTGGGAACAATAGCCAGAGGTGTATTTGGAGTTGGAAGGAAGATTTTGAGTACATTAGGTATACTTAAAGAGAAAGCACAACCTATTATACAAACTGTACAGAAAGGTTGGGATGTAGCACGAGATGCAACAAATCTTATTCCAAATCCTGAAACAAGAGGAAAAGTTCAAGGATGGATGGACAATGTAGGAAGACAAGCAGGAAACTATTATAACAAAGCAAATGACTACTATAACCAAGCAGGACACTATATGGACCAAGGTGAAAGATTCTTTAACAGAGGATATAACCATGCACAACAATGGGTAAACAATAACCAACCGCAACCACCTCAAACGTGGGGAATGTAAAGTTTTTTATTGAGATGAAATGAACAATGCAGCTTTAAACAGAATAAGTCATGGAAGACCACCTTTTACACCACGTGTTTGTAAAGTTCTTCCTATACCTCAGGAAGTTTTAGACCGACTTAAAAAACAACAACAACCAGTTGAAAACAAACCAAACTAAAATTTTTTACTGAGATGAAATGACCGAAGAAGTTGAAACCTTAGATTTGACACCACAAACAAAAAGTTCAGAACCATTGTCAAAACCTGTCAAAGAACTTACAGATGAAGAGAAAAATTCAATAATAGAAAGTGCCAGATCTGGTAACTCAAATCCTAACTACAAAGTCACTTTTCATAGAAATGGAACGGCTAGTATCTCAAAAAAGAAACAGACTCTCACAAATAAAATATTGAAGTCTGAAGGAGCTTTCGAGACAACAGATGGAAAAGTTTACTTCACTGACCAACAGTTCATTATAGAACATCTCATTGACTTAGAGTCGAAATATTCTAAACTTTACAACAAACACAAAAAGTTGAAAGGAAAACAAAAACAAATGGCATATGATATTTATGAAGATGTTGACGACACAACTGTTCCTGCAAGTGAAGTAAAGTCAGAGGAACCGAAAAGTGACGAAAAACCGATAGAAGAAGAAAAACCAAAAACTGAAGATAAACCAAAACCAAAGTTTAGTTTCCAAACTAAACCAAGTCAACCTTCATTAGCTGGTATGGGTTGGCGTCAAAGACTTATGGCAGCAGGCAGTTATGTTAAGTAAAGAAAAAAATATTTTTTTTCTTTTTATAAAAATGCCCCCATATAGAATGGATAGAAAATCTGCTAGAATAAAAGCAGAGTTACAAAGATATGGTTGGAGAGTTTCGAAGAAGTTTAAATATAGGAAGGGAAGACCATAAAAGTCTATGACAATTGTCTGGTCTTCGCTACGAAATGGATTTGGAAACAGCACGTGCCAATTATCCAAACAGACTAGAGAGGTTAGAAGAAGAACGTCTTATGGACATGCCTTTCGATGTTAGTGAACCTCAAGTTGAAGGACACGACGGCTTTGCCAGATTCTACTGGAAACATGACGAACAATTGCATCCTTTGAGAAGGAAAAAAGGTAGTGCAGAGGATGGTCATGCTCCCATGGAAAGAACAAAATATGCATATGAGAAGTACCGTGAAGTTAGAAGTCAAATTACATCTGGTCGAACCTTTACAGTAAACTTTGACGAAGGAAAGAACAAAGAAGGCTTCATGGGAGTACTTGCTGCCATACAAGACGGAAATAAGAAAGGACACAATCTCAGATTGACCATAACAGATTTGGATGGTCACATTTACTATGCACATGGCAATGAACAAACAGCCGCAAAACTTCTTGACGCTTTCAAGACTACAAAGAGAGAACAAATGGTTGACTCCGACTCAGACATTTTGAATGCAATTGAAGGAATTGCAAGTGTCAAGTTCGAATGGTACCAACCTAACCCTCAAGCAGTCAGACAACATGCTGGATACTTCCCGTTCATAAATAAGTCTGACATTGACTTGACAAGGTATGGAATTTACAATTCAATTGAAACAATTGTCAACGAACCTTGCATTCTTACATGTCTCAGGAACTCTGGTCTTGTTACAGATGAGAAGATGAAGTATCTTGAGTCATGTGTGAAGACAAGGTACATTCTCAGAGGTCAATTGGCAAAAATTGCACCGTTGGCAAATGTCAATATCCGAGTCAACATACCTACAGCTAAAGGTTCTTCACATGACGACTATGTTGTTGAGTTCAATTTACCATGGTTGAAGATTGTAATTGTCCACAACCACTTCATGTTGAACGAAAGTCTTACAAACCCATTCTTTTTGGTAAAAGTAAGTGCAACATTGTCAGAGCTGTAAACATTCTTTTCGAGAAAGGTTTGTTGGAACCAATTCCAGATGACAAGCTTACAGAAACTTTTGTACCAAAAGACGAAACAAACTTTTCATTGTTAGCAAGACCAAAAGTTGTTCCAGACAAAGTTCTAGTACAAAAGAAGTACACAGTTCCACAAGGGGTTGGATTGTTCGGATACCAACCTGAACCAGAAGAACTTCCAATGAGGTTGCAAGAACTTCAAGATGCTATAAACAAACTTCCATTGAGACATCCAATTGACGTCAAATTGTATTGGAGAGCATCTGAGTTAGGTCAGAAGGTTTTATATGAAACAGGTTGCTTCGACGATGTTTATGAGATAACAGGAGAAGTTTCTCAGAAGATAAGAGACTCACTTGAATTTCCACAAACTGGACCAATTGGTTGCGACAAGTTCGACTCAAACGAAAAGATATACTATGTCGACCTTAACGCTGCATACATGAGGTTTGTCCAATATATTCCGACTGGAATTCCAAACGAAGATGGTGAGTTCCCGGGAAGGAACTATACAGTTGGAAAAGTCATACAACAACTGTATGATATTAGGAAAGCTTCAAACCCCAAACTTGCAATGACACTCAAATTGCTTATGAATTCGACATGGGGATATTCCATTAAGAAACCTCAAGAGATGAAGAGTAAACATTATGAGAAGGTCGACAACTTTGTTGAAAGGTTTTCTCCTTTTGTTTTGAAGTACGAATTCACTCAAGGTCAAAGTAGCTTAGTAACCACATTAAAACCTATTGTCGAACATTGGTCTTACCCTCAGTTCGCAAAGGCAGTCCTTGACAACTACAACAAATTCTTCTCGGAAGTCAAATCCAAAGTCAAGGTTTACTATGAGAACATTGACGCACTCATGACGAACGAAGAAGGATACAACAAACTCATTGAAATGGGTTTAGTCGGTGAAAAGATGGGTCGATTCAAATTGGACAAAATTTTCACCGAAGTTCATGTCCTCTCCAAGCGTAAGTATTGGGGCATACTTGAAGACGGCACAGAAATAAAACATTGCATGAAATAAAAACGTTTTTCAAAAAAAGTGACATTTTTTTTATTTTATTTGAAATGTACGCTGAGTTTGTTGGAGAAGACCGTTGGGAAACTTGTTTGTTAGATGAGAAATATGAAATGGCATACCATTTTAAAACAATATATTTTTACATATATTAAATGCTTCAGGTTGAAAAACAAAGAACAAAAGTAGCAGATACAAAACCGTTAGACTATATCTTTACAAATGCTGGTAGGACTATTTCAGATGAAGAAATTTCATCCCGAGCATACAGGTTTGACTATCCAATTCGTTGGCTTCAAAGTCCTTCAGATGCAAAGGCAATAGGATTTAGAAGAGTTCATCTTGTTCAAATAGAACTAACGCATTTATGTTCGCAGTATATTTTCATGGGCAGTATAAAGGTTCTGATGGTCTAATAGACAAATTTGACGAAATGAGAATCTTTACAGTTCGTTCAGACGAAAGTCTTGAGAAAACTCTAAATGACTTTCAAACTCAAATGAACAAATATTATTGGGAATTTCAAGAAAAATACGACTCTTTACTAAATGGAACATACTATCTGAAACTAGAATATGACAAGATGAACTCCACCGTTTCATTTCAAAAGATTGAAATTAACCCTCCAAGAGATACAGAGTTTTTATTTTGGAAAGTAGACAAACGTTCTTGGGCACAATTTCTTCGGTTACTAAACCAGAACGAACCATTACCACCAGATGGTCCATTTAAATTTATACTTCCACCAGCAGATTTGACAGTTTATAGAAACGTGTTTGACCCTCAAAATGTTATGTGTCATGCAAGTTTCAGTTCAAGCAACAATAGTTTTCTATGTATTGGTAAGGACTTTTATGACTTTGCTTCTAAATTCTACGAACCACCTAGTAACAGTTTCTCTGACTTTCAAGTTTGGTTCACAACAAATGGTGTGCAACATATTATTCCATTGTACTATGACTTTTATCTCGAATTGTCTTTCATATATAACTACGGAAAAGTGCTGAAAAAGTATTGAAAAATAATGTTTATGTTAGCATGTTAGATCTAACACGTTTTCTAACCACTTTTCTAACATCGTAGAAAACTCATGAAAACAATTTATTTTTGACACTTTCACAAAAAACATAAAAAAGTGAAGTTAAACGTTAAGGTTTACTGAACTGGTTGGATGTCGCCTTCACAGGTTATGTAGAATGGCTGACCCGAGAAGTGGAACAGTGCTCTGAGAATTTGTATAATTCGTGGAATTGGACTCTCTCTGTTTGGAAGTAGTATCCAAGGACGCTTGGCAAAGAACTTTATAATGGCTTCCTTCTTTGCTTGCTTTATGTCGTCGTAGGCTGTCCCGTCTGGTACCTCAATTGGAATTCCAGTCGAAGTCTCGAGCTGAAGTGTAGACCTTCCAGAAATAGTGGTGAACTTGACCTTGGGCTTCATGACCTTGCGCAAGTACTGCTTAACAAGCTCGTTAATTTCAATTAGGTAAACTGCCTCGTCAAATCCTTCTGGCATTCCGAGTCCTTCCATCCGACAGGAAAATATTTTCCCGACAACTGGAAAAAATTTTCCCGACAACTGGAAAAAATTTTCCCGACAACTGGAAAAAATTTTCCTTCCGACAGGAAGAACTCTTCCAGTTGTCCGTCTGTAAACCATTCAAATTTTCGAAAATTGAGAACTTTTTGGTCGAACTTCAGAAAAAGTTTTTCCGGACAAAGGGAAAAAAATTTCCTTCCGACAGGAAAAGTTTTTCCTTCCGACAGGAAAAGTTCTTCCTTCCGACAGGAAAAGTTCTTCCTTCCGACGGTTAAGCCACAAACGAATGTCCGACGTCCCACCAACCCAGTCCATTCCCAAACCAGAGGAACCTAAAGCTGCAGAACCACAACAGTCTCCTCAGTTCCAGCAAGTACCTCCGAATTACTACCAATTTCCACCTCAAGGTTACTACCCACCACAAGGCTTCCCGAACTACCCTCCTCAGCCTATGCCTTACTGCCCCAACCCTTGGTTGTTCCAGCAAGCTCCACCCCAGCAATTCCAATCTCAATCCAAATCGAAGAGAGACCAAGAGTTCGAAGAAGGTCTAAACCGTTTACGCAAAGAGTATGCTACAGCTCCAATTGAGAGAAAGTTGTTCCCGGACCAAAAATAATGTTTAGGGTAGATGGTTAGATCTAACCTCATTTCTACCCTCATTTCTACCCTCTTGAATTTTCATGAATTTCCTTAAGATAGAAAAAATAAAGTTAGTTTTATTTTTTTATTTTGTATAAAAGATATGATTTCAGGGATTTTTTTGACGAAGTGTAAACCTTCACTTCGTCAAAAAATAACAGTTATCTAATGAAAAAGTGTCATTTTTTTCATTTGACGAGAATGTCGGGTAGATGGTTAGATCTAACCTCATTTCTAACCTCATTTCTACCCTCTTGAATTTGTCAAGACTTCTTCGTAAATGTTTTGTCATGACTTCTTCGTAAATGTTTTGTCATGACTTCTTCGTAAATGTTTTGTCAAGACTTCTTCGTAAATGTTTTGTCAAGACTTCTTCGTAATGAGTGTAAAGGACCCAAAAATAATGTTTAGGGTAGATGGTTAGATCTAACCTGTTTTCTCACCTGTTTTCTACCCTCTTGAATTTTCATGAATTTTATATATTAATGTTTTCGTTATGCCACTTTTGTGCCGTCAGTCAGTCAGTCAGTCAGTCAGTTTAGGAAATTTACACCAAAAATAATGTTTAGGGTAGAAGGTTAGATCTAACCTGTTTTCTAACCTGTTTTCTACCCTCTTGAATTTTCATGAATTTTCCCGAAATAAAAAATAAAGTTAGTTTTATTTTATTTATTTTTTTTATTTTGTATAAAAGATATGATTTCAGGGATTTTTTTGACGAAGTTTTAATGTTCACTTCGTCAAAAATAACAGTTATATAATGAAAAAGTGTCATTTTTTTGTATAAAAGATATGATTTCAGGGATTTTTTTGACGAAGTGTTAATGTTCACTTCGTCAAAAATAACAGTTATATAATGAAAAAGTGAAAGTTATTCTTCATTTTTTTGTATAAAAGATATGATTTCAGGGATTTTTTTGACGAAGTGTTAATGTTCACTTCGTCAAAAATAACAGTTATATAATGAAAAAGTGAAAGTTATTCTTCATTTTTTTGTATTTGACGAGAATGTCGGGTAGATGGTTAGATCTAACCTCATTTCTAACCTCATTTCTAACCTCGTGAATTTTCATGAATTTCCTTAAGATAGAAAAAATAAAGTTAGTTTTATTTTATTTATTTTTTTTATTTTGTATAAAAGATATGATTTCAACAATCGGCACAACAACAATTCAAACAACAGCACCAAACTCGTTAGTCATGAATCCAACATCTATGTTAGTAGAGATGAAAAACTTCATTCCTTCTTCATATACTTTTGAAACAGAAATCCAGAAGATAAAGCAAGAACTTTTAACAAGTAATTTAGACTGTACCGCACAGGATGAAGAAAATGAAGAATATCTTTATGACATGCAGGACCTCATCGACCATTTACCTAAACTACCTGAAATTCAGCAACAAAAACTAACCATTCCCGAATTCGATGAAATAGAAGTGAAACCAACTGACTCAGTAGAAATAAAGAAGTTCATTCGTAAGGTAAACTATGAGTTTCTAGGATTTCATTGCAACCATAAGGTTATGGACAAAGATTGCGACATGGTATATAAGAATGTTTCTGACATATATAAATCCGGGGAGTTTAAGACATACGACAACTTTGTTTCGTTAGTTGCTGAATGCGTTTGGGAAATAAGAGATAAAGATAGAAGAGGTAAGGTATGGAATGAACAGATAAAACCAGCAGCTTTTGAGTTAAAGAAAACCATTGACGCCTTAGTTGTTTTAGCAGGTAAGGTTTCAGAATATAACGCAAAAATGAACCCGCAATGTTCTAAATGTAAAGCAGCAATTAGGAAATATAACTACTCCGTCAAAGAGATAGAACGTATGAGAAACGACTATGCAGACTTAAAGAAAGAAGCAGAAAAGCCAGCAGAAGATAAAATGGACATGTTAGAATTTCTGAACAAAAACTATCCAACAGCAGAAGATTTCCTTCTATCTGACGTCAAGAAGAAGTATAAAGAAACTTTCGGTATCGTTAAAACATTCGATGTACTAAAAGAAGAAATAGAAGCTACGAAACTGTTTAGAGTCTCACGAATTCATAACGTTTACCATGTGAAACGCTTATAAAATAACTGGGGTAGAAAAGAGGTTAGAAAACAGGTTAGATCTAACCTTCTACCCTAAACATTATTTTTGCTGAATTCAGCAACAAAATTCTGAGTAAAATAATTTTTAGGGCATGTGTCAAACCGTTGAGTTTTCACAAAATTTAAAAAATAACGTTTACCATGTGAAACGCTTATAAAATAACTGGGGTAGAAAAGAGGTTAGAAAACAGGTTAGATCTAACCTTCTACCCTAAACATTATTTTTGTCTGATTTACGCTCATTACGAAGAAGTCTTGACAAAACATTTACGAAGAAGTCTTGACAAAACATATACGTTCATGTTTGACAAAACATTTACGAAGAAGTTTTGACAAAACATGTACGAAGAAGAAGTATTGACAAAACATGTACGAAGAAATCATGACAAAACATGTACGAAGAAGAAGTATTGACAAATCATAAACGATGAAATCATGAAAATTCATGAGGTGAGAAAAGAGGTGAGAAAACAGGTGAGATCTCACCACTTCACCTAAACATTATTTTTGTCTGATTTACGCTCATTACGATGAAGAAGTCTTGACAAAACATATACGTTCATGTTTGACAAAACATTTACGAAGAAGTCTTGACAAAACATATACGCTCATTACGATGAAGAAGTCTTGACAAAACATATACGTTCATGTTTGACAAAACATGTACGAAGAAGAAGTATTGACAAAACATTTACGAAGAAGTCTTGACAAAACATGTACGAAGAAGTCTTGACAAAACATGTACGATGAAATCATGAAAATTCATGAGGTGAGAAAACAGGTTAGAAAACGTGTTAGATCTCACCTCTTCACCTAAACATTATTTTTACTGAAAAATGACCAAAAATCTGAGTAAAATGGCATAAGATTGCTTCCCTCGGAAAACCGAGGGAAGACTTACCGCTACTGAAGGAAAAAATAACAGAGTATTTTGACAACTTCAAACAAGTAGGGTAGATGAACTCTTTATTTTTCAAGCTTGACTTTTTACAATTTGAACTTTGTTTGCGTAGATATGAATTCTGAAAGAAGTATGAGGGTCTTGTATGACTTTGTACTTCTCCCATAGTTCATATCTGTCAAACTTACCTGCCATGGACTCTTTCATAAGTTCCATGAAATCGTCTTCGGACAATCCAGGGAAAAGTATAATGTCAGTAAGTATTCTTTTAACATCCTTACTTAAACTCTTTGCTGTCTGTACACATATTACGACTGAGATGTTAAAGTGTCTGAGCTTCTTAAGAATTCGACACATATCTTGTTCTCTATTCTTTAACAAAGGATGAGAGGCGAAATCATCTAAGATAAGAAGACATCTATGAGGGTAAGTCTTCCAATCGTAAGATTGCAATTTCTTCGAAATGTATTCTATCTCTTTCTGTTTGTTTCTGAAGTGTTTCTTCTCTAATATTCTCTGCATTTCCTCATTTGGGTCTTTAAACTTAGAATTTATATACTCATTTATAGCATTATACTTCAAAACTCTTCTTTGGTACTTCTTTATCCAATCTAACAACTCAGAGTCTTTTATACATACTAACTTAGACTTCTTTATAATATCTTTGAACGAATTGACGGTTTGGTCAAATTGACCAGAAGTACTACAAATGACAACTAACTCATAGAATGGGTTCTTCTCATCTAGTTCTTGTTGTTGTGCAGCCATTTTAAGATAAGTGAAAGTCTTACCCGACCCAGGTGGTGCAATTAGACCTGTTATACCATTCTGAGCAAATAAGAACTTGTCATGTATAGGCTTTATCTGAGCATTTTCTAACTTCCTCTTGTTCTTGTTTAAAACATTCTCAAATTTCTTGTCAATGTCAGCAAACTTTTTTTCTAACATATTTTTAGAAAAATTAAAATTTTTATCTTTTAGAAAATGTCTAGCGATTTCGCTATCTATATTCGAGACAAGCTTTTCGACAGCAAAACATCTGTCGACCATAAAATCTTACATAGTGTAAACAAGAAAGGTGAATTTGTTCTAAAGTTCTGTTTCTGGGAATATGACAAGAACCATAAAACATTAAGCAGAGCAGTCTTAAAATTTGTCAATGACAGACTTGTTGACAGAGATGACGCCTCTTGGAAAGATGAAGTCCAACAAAAGTTCTTAGAATGCAAAGAAGACACATGCGCTGTTCTTGAAGATGAAATAGAAAACAGAATAGAAGAGCTATTAAAGGACAAAGAACTTTTACATAAATATGGTTCGGAGAAATTTGACATAACTCCACCAGAAAAGAAGAAGAGAGAAAAGAAAGAAAAGAAAGTAGAAGAAGAGAAGAAAGAACCTAACCAGTTCCAGAGAAAAAGAAATTTGACATGTAAAAATAAAATTTTATTTTTAGAACATTTCTGGGTCAATGTCAATGTTCTCTTCCTCTTTAGGAGTAAACACTGGCTTAGACTCTAAAATCTTTTTACCCAATTTACCTTGAACTTCTACAACTTTAGACTCATAATATTCATAGTCGTCTGCTTTCTTTGGTTCATAAGGTATAACAAGTTTGTATGCTTTGCCTTCTTTAAGGTTTGAGAACCTTCTGTCAAAACTTTCTTTGACTGCTAACAAACCTTCTATGTCTAAGTCTTCAAATTTCGCACCGTTTTTAGTCACAATAGCAAACTTAACTGGTTCGATGTTCCAAACTTTGCTGAATGAAGACTTTTCAAAATGGTAGAAGTAAACATTCAAATATGCGAATGGAGCTAACTTATCTTTGACTTCTGACATGTACTTGTTTACTGAGATGAATTTTGTCATCTTTTCTATCGGATAAAAAAATATTTTTTTTTAAATTTACTCAGAAAAAATTTTCTTTGTATATACACCATTCTGAACATCTAAAAGACTTTTGACATTTGCCAAGAATGTTCGTTTAGAAGCTGCCATATAACCATATTCTTGACAATATTGTTTATACGAATCGTACAATGACCTTTCATCTAATGACACAAAGTCAGTTTCATCTATGAACAGTTCATATACACTCTTGTTTGCTTCTAACAATGTTTGTCTCTCTTCGGTATGTGGAATTTGTCTTGGATTGAACTTAGAAATATCTAATGTCATGAAATATGAGAACAAGTGGTTGTAAAAGTCAGATGTCAAAGTTTCTGCTAAGTCGTCAAAATATTCTGTATCTTGCATATGAGAATCTGACGTTCTGACAACTACATATCTTCTGTCAGAACTTTCTAACTTCATCGGAACAACATTGTTTGAAACCATAATGAAGTTTGCAACATTTTCACAAACTCTTTGGTCTTTATATTTTCTTTCAACAACTCCAACTTTGTCTGTTATAAGACTCTTCAAAGCATCTGAGTTCAAAACTTTTGTTGTATCTATACTTTGAAGTTCATTGCAAACTATAAGTTTCATATTCTCTATTGAGGAGTTAAATTTACCGCAGATGTTTTCTAAGTTGTCATATTAGGGTTCGAATAACCTTCTAACAGTTTGCATAAGATATCTGTAAAGAATGTGTTCTTACCTGTTCCTTGTTTTCCAATTATAATGAGAGCAGTTTCATTTTTAGCACTTGGATGTTGTAAGATGTTTGCAAACCAACATAAGATATACTCATAAACCTTTTCGTTTCCATTGCATATAATTTCTTTGACATGGTCTAACCAAGCTTCTATAATATTTTCTTTCCATTCTACTTGTTCGTATTATATCCAGTGAAGATAGAATAGAAGTTTGGAGAAGGTGTATAAAACTTATACCACGAACTGAAAAATCTTCAAGTTTTGACAATAAGATATCCCAAGCATCTAACATCTTCATGCCAACTTGTACAACTTTTATTTTCTTAAGTTTCTGTCTACATTCTTGTTCAGACACTATTGTCGCTTTAGGTTTGTTAAAGACAACATCCCATTCTTTCATGACATAACATTCTGGGGCAGAGTCAACATAAATGACTAAACGTTTCAAATTCTCGACTGCTTTGTTATAGTCTCGAAATGGACACATATTTCTGAATGCTTGGAAGTCATAAAAATCTGAAACATCTATTCTGTACATTTTTATAAAAATAAAAAAAATTATTTTTTATTTCTTGACTTTGTTGTTCCATTTGTTGCATTTGTTGTTCTTGAGCTATTTGTTGTTGAAGTTGTTCTTGTAATACAATACTTTCACCAGTTGCATCTCAATTCGAAACTTTCTGCCGTCCATTGACAAATACATAGGACATAAAAGTTTTACAGGAACAAAGTTTGGTCAACTAATGTCAAACGTTATACTTGCCAAGTGTTTGAGTTCACTAAGGTTGAAAATTCTGCATTCGAATGAACAATAGGCAAACCAGCAGAGAAAGTATTGTTTATACGCATAAGTATCTTTTGGTCATATAGTTTCTGTCGACATTCGAATAAACACTTTGAACCTAAGTTTGAAACAATATATAAGATTGGTGTGCTTAATGTCAATGGAATAGACATTCCTTGTATGACACCTTTTCCTGTTATAGGAAACTGTTGGTAGTAAAAACCAGAACTAAGTTTTGTTATTATAGCTCATATCGTTATATAGTAAACTCAGTCGGACATCCAAACATAATGAAAACCTGCTCTAGTTGCAGCACATGTTACACCCGTACTTAAAGTATTAAATAAGTCAACAAAACCTGTTGGTGGTATATCTGAGTAAGTATCTTCAAAGGAGTATTTTTTACCATTCACAACAATAAAGTCTTCTGGTGTCAAAAGAGCAAAACAGGCTTTAGTCGTCATTGTGTTTAAGGTTAGTTTACAATATCGTCCTTGAGACTTTGTAAGTTTGTTGTTATAGAATTATATGACTCAGGTTTTTAGTCGTAATAGTATAAACCATTATGTCTTCTGCCATTTATATATATTTAAAAGTTTTTCTGAAAGTGGAGAAGAACTTCATCTAAACTTTCACATGGCGTTTCTTGAAGTTCTCTGTCTAAGAAGTTCAAATATTTTGTAAAGACATAGAACTTTCCTTTGTCTACACGAACAAACAAACAGGGTCTTTCATATCGTTCAAAAGTGTGTAAAGTCCTTTACATGAAATAAAGTCTATATTATTTTCTTCAAACATCTTTCAAGAAGTTTTGACATTTTTACTTAGCAAATAAACTTTAATGAAATGTTGTGGTCGTCAAATATTTTATAACGTCTGGGAAACTATATTTTAAGTTCAACGTTTCACCTCCTTTCATAACGTATATCTTGTCAATGACATTATATGAAACACCACAGCAACTAATGTCGGGTTCTATTTCTTTGATGTTTATATCGTCTGCCTCTGTCAAAAGTTTCAATAGTTCTTTCAAAACTTCATGAGGTGCAATGACATATGAGTTCACTTTTACAGGGTTGTGTTCGACCAAAGTTTAACATTATACTTAAAGCTTGACAAATCTTCTCCTGAGTTTGAAGTTTGTCTTTCAGTTGTTGGTAGTCATTTCGAATATCTGCAAACAGAACTTAAGTCTCTGCTAACTTCAGGATATGTTGGTTTTCTTTTACAGGAACAATTGTTATACCATCTTGTCTTCGTATGGTTTCCCCACTTCAACATCTCTGTCTTTGACATTGACAATAACACTTTGACTGTTGTTTGAGTTGGTGAATTTAACTTCACATCTGCCACCGCCATTAAACCTTTTGAAACACTTACGCTTCTATTTTTCGGAAATGACATTTTACTTAGAATAAAAAGATGGACGTATTCGGATATCTTATTGAATTGAAGCAGAACAAAGTTTATACTCACAAACAATACAAATACATTGACAGAATAGTTCTTTACACAAACAATGGAAAATGTTATAGAATAGCAATATTTGCTGAACCAAAATATTTTCATAAAACAAAGAAAGTTGGTATAACTGAAATGGTGAAAGTTCTTGAAGCAGACAAAAATATAACTTCAAAACTGACCGATATTACTAAAGGAAAGTTTATAATACAATATTATGTCAAAACTGGCGTACTGTCAATATTTGACGGAGAGAAGTCAGTTCAAGAACAACTTACTGACCTGCTGCCAAAATCTGCTCGATGGAAGCTGTCGTTATGCCAATCTGAGGAGCCCCAGCAGGTTTCATCGAACGAATCTTCAAAAGAGCATCTTCCGTGAAAAGTGCTATTGGTTTTGTAAACTTCTTTGCTTTCAATTCATCTGGACCGTCTCTGTCACCAGTATATTGTATTTGTACAGTACCAACAGTTGAAATACCACCCATAAAGTCTTCTGAGTCAGCAAATGGAATGCCAAGCCAAAAGTTTGAACGGTCTCCATTTGTATATTGAGTTTTTTGACCTCCTGTATGAGTCCATACTTTCACATATGGCATAATAGAACTTTGCATTTCAGGGTTAATGGTTGTTGTGAAGTTGTTGTTAAAGTTCATAGCATCTAATGTCAAGTTGTATGACCTCATATCCTCAACTGTAGAATATTCTTCTCTTGGATAATATTTGCCATCTATGTTTATATGATATTTAATACCAGGGTTGTAGAAACAAGAATAGTCATTTATAGTTCGTCTGAACAGTACAAACATAGTATCTGCATGTTTCATTGCAGTTGTTAAAGCAATATCTGTTCTTGCACCTGGGTCAGCACTTTGGTTTCCAACTTCACCTGCAAAGTCTTTGACAGATATTTGGTGTATAGGGAACATAAGTGGAACTGCAATATATTTGGCAGCTAAAGCATTTGAAATATCTGGGTCCAACATATAGACTGCAAGTCTGCTTTCTATTCTCTTGCATTCAAATTTTTCGCATGTGAACTTAACTGGGTCCCAAGCAGTTCCAGCAGCATTGAAATAATAGTTTACTTCAGTGTTGAGGTTTGAGAAACCAAAGTCTAAGTCAACTTTGTCTTTGCAAAATTCGGCGAATGACGTTTGATTTGTTCCCTTTACGTCTGTAATAGTGAATGGGTCTTGTGTTGGTGCAATGACTAAGTTATTTTTGCTTGGAGTAAGTTCGATAGAAATTTTTCCTGCCCAGTTTGGCAAGTATCTTAAAAACCTGAAGATGAGGAAAGATGACAAAGGAACTCTAAGTTTCAGTTTTACTTTAGTGGCAGCATTTCCATCTGAACCAGAAAGGTTAACATAAACTCCTGGAATGTTAGGGTCAAGTCTTCTTATTTTCTCAATAGTTGCATACTGGTCTGTTTGTTCTCTAGCTTGTGGTTGTACTGAGTTTCTCAAAGCGAACCATTCATAGTTTGCCCATGTTACTGTTTGAACTAAGTCAGAGTTAGAATATATCTTATATCCCATGAAAACTTCTGGAGCATATTGGTATCCGACATAGAAAATTCCATTGCAACCTTTCTTGTCAGACAACTTGGCAGAAGGTTTTATTTCAATGTCTTGTTCCACGTATAAGAATGAGTTGTCAATAGAAATAATATGAAACCTGTCGCAAGCAATATCTACTGTTGTTGAAGAACCTTCTCCAAACTCACCTACGTTTCCATAAGAAACAGCAGTTGTATATTCGTAAGTTCCAGGAACTATTTCTGACCTTCTAATGGCATTGTCGCATTCGTTATACCATTCGGAAACATTTCCGTTCATGGCATCCAAAACTGTTGGCGTTATATTCTGAGCGGCGTACATTTCATATGGGTAAAAATATAGAATAGTTGGATTTATGTGTCATAATAGAACCCACTCGGACCAAGCTTTACTTTCTTCCTGACTGAGTTTTTAACTCTTCTTTTTCCTTCATTGCCACTACTTTCACTAGATGAAGTTACTTCTTCACTACTTTCACTTTGTTCTACTCTTCTTCTTTGGTGTCGCTTTTGGTAACTTGCCCTCTGCTTCAAGTTGTTGCATCTTTGCCTCATGTTCACCTAGTATGTTGTAAATTTCCATGTCCTTTTTGCCTTTGGGCTCTGGTCGCCCATCTCAGGTAACCTATATCCTAGAAAGATTTTGTCATAGTTTGTATTTGAGTCTTCGCGTATTGTTTGCATGACTCTTTCCTGAGTTTCCGGTTCAAGCTCTTCAAACAGAGCTTGTCCATATGGAATAAGCTCGTTTCCAAATATATGTTTTTGTAGCCATTCTGGTTTTCTTTCCATGTTACCAATAATATCTTTTGTGAATGGGAAAGCTTTTACCCAATGTTTCAGTCTTGCGTCATTTATTTCTGTAGTTGGTTTTATTTTGTCAAGGAACATGTTTTTCAATACTAACATTTCATTTGGTACTGTCCATTTGAGTTTTCTTAAATATTCATCCCTTCTCGGTTCATTGTCTGCAAAGTAAGTTTTTATGACATTTTGCAAACTTTCGTTTGCAAGGTCATGTACAATAGGTTCTCTTCCTTCTCTCTCCCTAACTTTCTTTCTAAACTCTTCACCAAATATACCATCTTTATGGTTCTGTGTAGTTCTTTGAGATAAATGTTCTAGAACGTCAGGTGTTATATTTCCATCAGCCATGTTCATTTCATACTGGTCCAAAATATCTGCATGTTTCATATCTTTCAATGGCATTAAAGCCGCGCTGAAAATACCAGCTATATCTGGTTCACCATTCACTTCCATTGCGTCTACAACTTCTTGGAATTGAGGTTGTAAGTTTATGAACCACCTATCCGGATTAGCTTTATGACCCCATCTCATTGTAGTTCCATAGTCTGCAGAAACAAAAGTAGGTTTGTTTCCATATTGGTTAGGTTCTGAATGAACTTTAAGCAATGTTTCATTTCTATATGTTTTGTTGAAATTTAACCTTTTATTTTCACCGAGTTCAGCCAAAGATTGAACGTTATATGGTCGTAAGTAAAAAGGATTGTTGTATTTGCGTACATTTTCTTTCAGTACTTCCATTCTATGCTGAATATTTTCATCTGATGTTGGAGTCTTTTGTATGTCGGCGAACATTTTTCGATATTCTTCTACTATGTCAGCCGAATTTTTCTTAGACTCTTGGAAAGATTCCATATTCCCCGCATACACTTGTTGAGGGTCAAGATTTTTCGGCTGTTCCAAATCTTCATCTAGTTCTGTGAAGTTAGTTTCCAAAGGAGGGACTTGTTCGTTTCCTTCAGGCTCTTCTAGCTGTTGTTGCTGAACTATTTCTTCCATGTCTGGTTGTATCTGAACTTCTTCCTGTTGAGTTTCTTGTACCTCATCTGCTGGCATTTCATATATTCCGAGACCGTTTTTAAAAAGTTCCCTATCTAAGTCATCCGGACTCATAAACCTTTCTTCTTTCGTTCCGTCTCTATTTTTTACGCGTTTCATGAAGAGAGTTGAATTATCATTTAGCTCTGACATCAAATATCTCGGAGTAAATTCATCCATGTCATTTGGATGATATGCTATTAAATCATATCCCTTAGCGAGCTTGTATTTTCCAGGTTTGAAATTCTATCCCATTTGGTGCTGAACCATAAAGCTAAATAGGTTCGGGTCAGTATTTCCTTCCTTGAACTTTTTAATAGCTTCTTTATATCTGTCACTAAAGTCAAGAGTATCTGGGTAACCATAATCTTCCTTAAGCATTTTTAAGAATTCTTGGTTTCCTTGTTCTCTACTTCTTTTATGTCCTTGCTCTGTTTGTGGTTGTTGTTATGCAGGGTTTTGAACTGTTGGTTGTTGTGTAGTGTTTTGAACTGTTGGTTGTGGTGCTGGATTTTGAACTGTTGGTTGTTGTTGTTGTTTTGGTGCATGCCTGTGTCTGTGTCCATGTGACGATGTAAATGTTTTAGGTAGTCCTGGTGCAGGTGCTTCTCTTGGAGGGTTTGGTGGTATATAAGTTCCACCAGCTGGCACATATGTTCCATCTGCAGCATAATGTCCTACCTGACTTTTCGTTTTTAAGAAAGCATTTACTAGGTCTGTTTTGGTCTGTTGTAACTCTTTTTCTTGACTTTCCACAACAGTTGCTCTAACGGCGTCATAGGCACTTTGAACTGCCTGTCTCGTTGCTGCATCTGTTATTTTCGTCATATTTTGTGCTACTTCTCTTAACTCTTTGTCGAAACCTTCAGACTTCAGTTTCTTTCCAGATGAGAAGTCGTTCACTAGTTTCACCTTACTATGAAGAGCTTCGAAGGCGTTCTTAAAGTCAGCATTCATTAAAGCTTCATTTGAACTGTCTTCATCCGCTTGTATTTTTGTCCTTATTGACCCTATAAGTTGGGCTGCTTTGGCGTTGGCTTGGGCATCTAACCAGTCATTATTAGCTTTTATATATTCTGCGCTTTTCATTGCCTTTTGCATGGCTGCGTCGTTATTTTTACTTTCTTGTGCTAAGTTTTCATACTGTACGGTTTGGTTTTGCAACTGTAAAAGTTTTTCTGCCTTTACATTTGCTTCAACTTCTTTTTTATACTCATCGCTATCCATATATGTCTTCATGGCTTTTTGTTTTATTTCTTCATCTTTCAGTACTTTATATTGAGTAGTATGGTTTTTTCAAATTTATAACATCTTGTTCCATTTTTGCTACTTCTGCTGCTTTTTCTGACACTTTTTTCGCATATTCCTCTGTACTTAGTTCTTTCAGTTGTTCTTCTTTCTTCTTTTTCTCTACGTTTAACTCATTGAGTTTCTTTGTGTGTCTGTCATATTCTAGTTTCTTTTCGTTTTCACTTATTTGTTTCTGTATGTCTATGTTTGACTTTTTGACATCTGTTATTTGATTTTTGAGTGAACTCAAATTCATTTGACTTTGAGGGTTATAAGCTGTTCCGTCTGCAGCTCCACCATAGCCTGCCATTTTCGCTAAAAGTGCCGCTCTTAAACCTCCACTCTGTGCACCAATAACTCGGTTTAAAAGCATAGGGTTGCTTGACATTTGTTGCAACATAGTGGGGTCATTCATCATTTGTTGTTGCAACTGTTGTTGTGGTGTCAGTTTTACTATTGGATGTTTCAATGCTCCCTTCCTCTTACGTATATTCTTACGTAGCTTACGTGGCATTTTAAGTGAAGTTAAAAAGTGGTTTTTGACAGATGTTTATATGACACCATTAATATGATGTAAATAACAACGGTTTTGGTTTTGTCACCGGCTGGTCGGCTGGGGTTCGGTCCTCCTCTTGGGTCTTGGGCAAAATTTCTTAGGGCTAGAAGGGGCGCAGCCCCTGGAAGCCCTCCGAATATAAACTTCATTTATACTAAACATCTTCAGGGCTAGAAGGGGCGCAGCCCCTGGAAGCCCCACTACCTTTTTTTTTATATAATGCTTATCTATCATAAAACCATATGAAATATCAATTTTTGCTTTACGCCTAATTTTTGACGACAATTAGCAAAAAATGTTAAATGTTAACACTCAGTCCATTTGAATATGAAAAATAAAATTGACTTTGATTAAATGTTTTTATTTATCATGCAATTCTTCTTGCGACCAAAGATTTGAATAAAATTTCAAAAAATAAGATAGCTTAAAAAATAATATACGGTAGTGTTTACTAATAGATGAATAGTATATAAATTCTATTAAAATGGATTTGATCCAAAAAAATATATAAAATTTGATCATAAATAAAATCGTTTTAAATTACTTCTTCATTTAAATTATAACAATTATTTTTGGTTTTATATTTTTTTGGATCAAATCCATTTTAATAGAATTTATATACTATTCATCTATTAATAAACACTACCGTATTATATTTTTTAAGCTATCTTATTTTTTGAAATTTTATTCAAATCTTTGGTCGCAAGAAGAATTGCATGATAAATAAAAACATTTAATCAAAGTCAATTTTATTTTTCATATTCAAATGGACTGAGTGTTAACATTTAACATTTTTTGCTAATTGTCGTCAAAAATTAGGCGTAAAGCAAAAATTGATATTTCATATGGTTTTATGATAGATAAGCATTATATTCCCACTCATTATATTCGTAAATTTTGAGGTTTATCCTTCGCTTTTAAGATCATTGAATTTGATTTTTATATAAAATAGTTATATATTAGAAAATAATATGAGTTTATGTGATATTATTTTTCAGAAGATTTCATTCTATATGCCTATGAAAAGTACTCTCAAAACTAACTTTTTCCTAATTATAATTAAATCTAGAATATTGTATTATGCTTAGTATTATTTCATTTTTCTCATTCAATTTAGAATTTACAAATGTCAAAAAATTGAGAGCTGTCACTTTTGATGAATTTCTGTTTATTACAATGTAAATGACGAAAACTATTGAGATAACAAACTACAACGGTCATGAGTTCAAGAACTTATTCTTCGTTCCTCGTGAAAATACATTCTATCAGATACGAGGGAGAAAGGGTAAAGTTAGTTTGAGCGTTTATGAAGGAATGAAGAATGGAAAGTTTATACAAGCATACGATACAAACGGTAAACGTGTTTCATTAGCTTTGTCAAAACTTACAGGTATAAACTATGACAGTGATTTTGACCTATATGAAGAAGAAAGTGAGTCAGAAGATTATGAGCTGTTATGCGAAGCACAGCAATGGGAGGAGTTGCAATACTTTTGTAAGTGAGAACGTTTATTTTTACAGTAGTGAAGTCGTTTGTGAAAATGTTAGTGAGGTGAAGTGGTTGGCGGTTTTGTAAATATTTAAGGTTAAGTTAGTGTTGTCGTTTGTGTTGTAAAATATACGTTAACGGTTTTGTAAAGTGTCAAATTCACATATAATGGGTAAGGAGGCGCGCAGTGCCTCCGTACACTTGATATGTATACTAACTTTCTTTTTGTAATAGCATATTTTTGATTTAATTCTGTTTAGTTTCTTTTTATATTCATTGTCTGGACTCTGAATCTTAATTGAATCAGGACTCTTGGCTGCTTTGTTGTCACTCATTTCTTACGAAATAAAAAAATTAAATATTATTTAAATATAATGGAGTAATAAAATAAATCGGAATTTCTATTAATTTATTGTCAACTTCAACTAATGCATTGCCGTTAATATATCTAACAAATTCAGCTATTGTGTCAAATCTTCGTCTTCTTTTTGTCATTGATTTATTAGTTTTTCCATAATCGAGATGAATCAAAACTTTATCCCCTTGTTTAAAATTCATGAGCCCGAATTAATTTGTTCACGTTTAACATCATTTAACCTTTCCATTTGCTTTCTAATATATTCCCATTCTTTTGAAATATCATTTTTCATTTCCACTGGTGTCATGTTTATAGTTCTATGCCATGTATTATTATAATAATATACTAACTGCTGTATGATGGAGTCATGATTTCCATCACAGTATATCTGACCGTTAACCCCTAACGCACCTCTAAGAGTTCTCATTACCGCATCAACTATTTTATTATGAAACGTATATGGAGAGGATGAGAAGTAAAAATTAATTTGTGGAAAATAATGAGCCATAGTTGTCTGAAATCCTTTATCACCATCACTCCTTATATTATCCACTCTTTCATGATCTAGTAAGTATTGAATAGCTCTTCTTGTTTCCTGTTCTGTTTTCCCTTTCACTGGAATGCAATATAAATATCTAGTGTTAATGTTAATGACAAATAAATAAGTAGGGTTTCCTTTTGAATATTCCAGATGATCGATTTCGTATGAATATGGATATGGAGCAAATGAAGGGCGACTAAATTTTTCCTTTAACGGTTGAATTTTCGGGTCAGTTGGTTTATTTAATATCTTGAAATCCTTTTTAAAATCTTTTTGTTTCTTTGGTGATTGAAATGGATATAATAAAGTGAATGATGAAGGATTAACTGAAGGAGGAGGAGGTACTGTCGTTGGAGGTTTTGGTATTGCAAGTGGTTTAATTTTATCTGCTTTGATTTTGGATGATGAAGTTTTGGATTTCATTCCTCCCTTCATTAATTCTGGATGTATTCTATTCATTTGTTTTAAATATGCTGTATATAAAGGTTTGATATACTTTCCCACTTCGAGTTTATGTTGAAGGATGAATTCCAAAAGTTGATCTTCATTTAAAAGTCGGGCTGAATATGGTTTAACTAATGAATCATAAATTAAAGCTTGTGCTTCATTTATGGTCTGAAGGACCTGGGCGTTTTGCACCTTTAGCTGTTGAACATTTGCTACTTTAGAGCTCGGCTTTTTCTTCTTTGGTTTTTGTGGCTCAGGATTATATAATTTATATAATTCATCAATATCTTCTTCTGTTAATACTTTATTTTTGAAATCTTTCAACTGTTTAAGCTGTGATTTAGTTTTTCCCTTTGCATATTCATTATTTTTAATTTTGTCTTTAATTTTAGAAATTATTTTATCATGATATTTCAAAATTTCATTTTTATAATATGGATAATAATAATCCATATCATCACCCGTTATATTTTTATTATATTTTTGGAGATATGATTTTAATTCATAATAACTAAGAAAATTTTGATAAAGTACTAAATCAGCAATTAAATTTTTTAAATGTACGTTATCCATTTATATAAAAATAAAATAAATGTTTTAAGGGTGCCCACCTCTTTGAATCATAGTATCAAAACCATTATTTACATATTGAATCGCATCATTAACGGTTCCTCCTTCTAAAACGGTATCAAATGGTGGCGGTTGTTGTTGCTGTTGATGCTGTGATGGGATTTAAAAAATTCGTTGTGGTTGATTATTTGGAATCTGAAAGTTAAAACCATTTGGTATAAATCGATTTGGTTCCTTTTGTCTCTTCTGTGGCATTTCATTAAAAATAAAATTTTAAATTGTATTAAATAAATGGCATACAACATCCATTTTCACAACATACAGCCTTAGTGTGTGCTCCTGTTAATGCAGTCTTACCGATTGTTAAGCGAGTCATCGACCCGTTTTTAAGTTGTAAATTAATATTTTGACCATCAAATATCACTTTATCATTTATTATATCCAAATAATTTTTAGGCGTTAATTGTTTATTTTATCTTAAACTAACACCTTTCATTTTTTGTGCAATCTTTTTAAAATCACTTCCATCAATTGAACCGTTGAATGATGTATAACACTTAGGGCATAAAGCAACCATGTTATCACCTTGTTTCTCAATTGCTAAACCCAATAATTTTTTCTCATGTGCTTTTTCTTCAGCTTTATTCTTTAATTTATGTTTAAATTTCTCCTCAAAACAGAAGAAATCAAATGGTGCGAATTTGAAAATGTTTTTATAATAAAATTGTTTATCGGTAACAATTGCTTGAAATGCTTGAGTGTTAGGAAGATTTGGGTCGCCAGCGATTGCCCAATAAGATGAATCAGTATCACCTTCAATGAAATGAAAACGATTAACATTCATGCATTTATACATAAAATCATAAATGAAAACCAAATACCAGTATTTAGCATTATCTAAAGTGAAGAATGCCTCTTGTAAACATGTATCACATCTATAAAATCTATCTTTAAGCATCACTTGATATGTATCCTC